AAAGACCTGCGAAGGCAGGGTGGTTAGATAATGAGAAAAATGAAGCTGAGAAGTGTCGAATAATGAGGAAAATGAGCTCAAATATGGTGGGATTAAAGCTCAACGAGAGCTGAGAATGTATATAAGGAGAAAGCGACTGAATGAGGGAACAGTGTTCGCCGTGCCACTCGTGTCCTCAAATACTTTGTCTTGGTCTACCCCGACTCCTAATACGCCTACACCATTAATCACCCCTAAATGTGCGTATTTTTTTAATGTATATTTACTTCAAATTCAATCTCCTGCAGCGACATTAAATACTTGATATGACCCGTAATTACGTAGATATTTAATTTCATGGTAAAAAACTTGACCCAGTTTTATTATGGCGGCTATTATGCAAAACAAATATGTTGAAGAATTTTAGAATTTAATTTACACACACTAGGGGTTCTACGCAAGTATATGTATCATTTCAAGTAGTATATGGTTTTCTTTTAAGACAGAGTGTCGATCTCACAGAGAAGCGAGGTAAGAAATCCCTAAGATTAATTCTAGTATATTACTATCATGCTTAAGTTTGGAATTATGAATAATGGTGTTTTTCTAATAATGAATCCTAAATACAAACCTAAATATAAAGATAAACTTAACTTGAGAAATTGATTTGGAGAATTTTGAGAAGTTAAAAACTACCAGTGTCCAAGTAAATGTCTAAGAATGAAATACTTAGAATTTAATGTTGTGAGTGACAAATATGAGCATGCCTGCGTTTTTACCTCTTCCGAGCATAAAGAACATTGATCAATTTAAAGTTAGTTCCAGATTGTGTGGTAGTGCTAAGTATATTATAGTCTCCCACTTCTAGATTACGCACCGTACCCTCTCTATTGGACCTACCAGGAACCCTTAGTTTCAACATTAGACTAAATTAATAAAAGATCTATCCTGTCACCCTAGAAACATCAATTCTACGCCCATCAAAACTTAGTTCTCTATCTATTTGCGCTAACCAGTGGATTGAGTGGGCCTCCCATCCTAAAGGTTAACTAGTATTCGCAAGTTGGGTGAAATCATAGCCCCTCTCGAGTCATTTTGTTTCGCAATGGATTTTAACCTCACAAGTGATCAGTTTACAAAGTGAATTAAGAGCCGGTGCAAATATCATCACATTAATAAAATAAGAGAAATAAAATAAGAGAATTTCTAAGCTAAGAGAATTTCTAAGCAAATCTAAATTCATAAACATGCATCCATTTCATTGCAAAAGAAAAGTAAAATGAAGATGGTAGCATAAATAGTAAAAGAATCGAAAGAATTATGTTATAATTTGCCAACAAGAAATATATATCTACCTACCTTCTTCTGAGTGTGGTGGTTAAAAAGCCTTACAACTTCTGGTAATGTATTAGTTTTATGCAATTATCTGTCATCTAGAAGCTCCTAATAGAAATAAATCATTAATTATATTTCCTTAAAAGTTGCATTGCCGTTTAAACTACTTCACCATAGCCAACTGAATAATGTGAGTACACTCAAGTTGCGAGATCACTGCTCTCCAAGTCTTAGTTTCATTTACAACATATTTTAACATAAATTATGGTCACTTAAGTTACGTCAATGAAGCAAAGGAGATATTACTTATCACATGAAAATAAAAATTATTCTATCATAAAACAAATTTTCCTACACATGTCACTACTTCATGTTAAAAAAAAGAGTAAAGAAAACCACATCACAGAGTATCGATAAAACACAACAGAAAATTTCACTAAATCAAAACAAATCCGCTAGGAAGTGTTTACACGATTATAAGATGATGAAAAACACAATACTTAGTTTTTTCTCTCTAAAAAAAAGATAAAAATCCCTCCAACAAAGTCTCTTGCCGATCAACGCAATGTTCAGACATTTCCTTACACTTATCTCTCAAAATCCCTCACCAATCTCTCCAGAGAATGTATAAATCTACATTCCTACTCTTATCTTTGAACTCTAGACTTTTTTGGAGTTTCCAAGACTTTGAAATGCCAAAAGGTGCATTCCCAAGTGCGAAAAGGTGTTTTTAACTCAAAAAATTGAGCAAAAACCGTCCGTAATGGTTTCTGGCGCCTGGGACCCTTTTTTTTTGTTTTTGCTCCAATTTTGCACCAACAAAATGCGTCATATTATAATTTTCTTCCTTGCTCGATTTGACTCCAAATTGTATCATTTTTGCTTCATTATCTCCAAGAGTCCATCTTTCGTCCTTGCAATAAAAAACATGCAAATATTTTCCTTTAAAGTACAATATCATTAAATATCATTAAAAATTAACATGAAATATATACAAAAAATTAGGTAATTTTTAGGCAAGTCAACCATCCACCTCAAAACCAGATTACAAGTGATATTATTCCTCTCCCTTCTCTCCCACTCCCATGACTTAAGAAGGATCTCTCGCAGCCATGCGGGTCATTCTCCTGATCGTTAGTCTCCTAATCATTATTCTCCTGATCGTTTTGGTTTCTCACATGACATTGCTTAGTATGACATTGCTTAGTTTGTTTGTCTCATACTCTAACATATCACCTGTATTCGGAGCATTCATTGCATCTTTGGACACTGTCTCTATACTCAAGTGTTGAAAGATTGCTAAGGAGGATCCAAAGTAGAAGGTTGTCATGTTGGAGAAACTTGGTACTCTCGAGAAGTATAAAAGGTGGGAGCTTGCATTGCTACCAACAAGGAAAAAAAAGTCGGGTACAAATGAGTCTTCACAGTGAAGCAAACTTCAAAAGAAAAAAATTAATCGCTACAAAATGCGGTTAGTGGCTAAAGGGTATAGCCAGACGTATGACATCGACAATGATAAGACATTTGTATCAGTGACAAAAATTGAGCACAGTCAAGACTCTCATTTCTCTAGCCATGAATGGTGGATGGAGGTTACACCAACTGAAAGTGAAAAATGCGCTTCTTCATGGAGATCAACTGTAGGGGGTGTACATGGAGATACCCTTAGGCTTCGGTACAAACTAAATAGTGGGCAAGGTATGTAGATTGAGGAGGTCACTGTATGATTTGAAACAGTCTCCTCGAGCTTAGTTTGATAAGTTCAGGAGAGCAATGGTAGACATGGGCTATACGTAGATCAATGCCGACAACACAATGTTCGTTCGACAATATAGTGGTCACATCACTATACTTGTCGTTTATATGGATGATATGATAGTCACTAGTGATAATGAGGAAGAGATTGCACTACTAAAGACAAGATTGGGCAAAGAGTTTGAGATGAAGGACTTGAGACAACTTTGATACTTCCTTGGGATTGAGGTGACTCATGGAGCAGAGCGGCTTATTATATCTCAGAGGAAATATGTGCTAGACTTGCTCATAGAGACAAACATGTTAGGATGCAATCCAGCAGTTTCACCAATTGATCATAAGGTAAAGTTGAGTGCAAAGGCTGGAGAGCAATTTGATCAAGAAAGGTACCAGAGGTTAGTATGTCATCTCATCTATCTAAGTTACATTTCTCCCGACATATCATTTGCAGTAAATGTGATGAGTCGCTACATGCATGATCCAAAGAAAGGGCCTCATGGATGTTGTGTATCAGATTCTAAAGTACCTTAAAAGTGCACCATGGAAAGTATTGATCTTCAGAAAAAATGGACATGTACTCATTGAAGGCTATTGTGACTCTGACTGGGTAAGTTGCTCTGATGGATGACAGGAGGTCCACATCTGGTCCACATCTGGATACTGCATGTTTGTAGGGGGCAACTTGGTCTCTTGGAAGAGTAAGAAATAGTTGGTAGTAGTGAGGTCAATAGTAGAGACAGAATATAGAACCATGGCCTTAGGAGTTATCGAGATGATGTGGCTGAGAACCTTATTGGTAGAGCTCAAGGTGGACCGATGAGCTCAAATGAAGTTGTGGTATGGTCAACAATCAGCATTGCTAACAACCCGGTGCAACACGATAGAACCAAACATGTGGAGATTAATAGGTTTCCCATCAAGGAAAAGTTGAATAACAGAAAACTAGATCTACATCATGTAGCCACTAGAGAGCAGGTGGCTAACTGTCTCACAAAAGGACTTAGCTCATCAGATTTGTCTAAGTTATCTGATAAGATGGGCTTAGTGGATATTTTTTGCCTATCATGAGGGAGAATGTTGAGATTTGTATCTAGTTTAGAATCCTAATTGTAAACAATAAATATAAAAGAAGTTTAGGGAGTTATTTGTGAAATGTTGTAAGTCCCTATATAAGCCCAACTGATTAATGAATAGAACAAAATTTTTAAGAACAATTACTTTCTTTTCCTTCCATTCATTCTCCAGCCAGAGCTCCCCTTCAAGTGCTCGGTTTCCAGGCACTTTTCACGAATTCCCAGAACATGTAACTGGGTTAGCAAGAAGTATGGAATCTAAAAAGCAACGGGAAACTGTTTGTTCCCCAGTTGCTGCAACAAAAAACTTTGCAGCTGCTGCTGCTCTCTGATGGCCTTCATTGCTTGCTCTGCTGGCTTTTCGATGTTGTCTTTCAGTTGATTTGCTACAGGGTTGAAGAAAAGCAGGATTCAAATTGACGGCATGGGAAACAAAGAAATTGTTGGCTGTTTAGTGGAAAAACAGAGGACATCGTTCAATAAACCAGGAGGAAGTCCAAACCGGAGAGAAAATGCCATATATAAAATAAAAAAATAAAAGAAAATCTATTCTAAGAAGTTGGATCTGGATCGAACTGACAAAATTTATAACATTTAGTTGCATACTTATACGTGTTTGTGTAAGTGAATAAAGAACTTTTGTTCTACAAACTTCTCAAAGTTACTCCAACCTATGTTCATTTAGTCTAAGGTAGGAAATCATGGTTCAAATGTTTACGTGAATCACTTTTGGGTTGGTTAGCAAATAATTTGCGTTGGAATGCTTGAAATAGCCCTTGGTCAAGAAGTCGAAAAGCCCTGGAAAATTCAAGTATTTAAACTTGTGAAATTTGTAGTTGGAATTCAGATGATACATGCCTGGAGCAAATGCAATACAAGTGGCCGAAGAAAATTCTGTGTGTTCACGAAGAATGAAGGTCAATATTGCAGCAATGCCAGCTCCTAAAGAATTGCCAACAATCTAATGATATCAAAACAAGGGATAATATTAGCCGTTATCCTGCAACATAAAACCATAAATGTAAGAACCAGGAAACAATTGTTGCTCCAAAGAGTCTATTTTACAACATGGACTGCTTAAATAAAAAAATGCTAATCTTCATTTCAAGTAAGTTTGTCTAATTGTCTGAGAATCAGCATATCTGCAGTAAGGCAATGCAAGCACTTTCTTAAGATAATTCAATCAATAGCTTAGCAAGAGCCACATCAGGTTGCTAGTTTGAGTTTATGAGATCAGACTATAAAAAAGGAAGATTGATATAAATACCACTCAATTCCGATGTATTTACATATCTAACACCTAAACTTCAACTTTTACATACATGTCACCTTACCTATGCATGAAAATGTGTATTTCACTTTTAAAAAGTTAAAATAGAAGTATTTTTTATGTGATACGAAAAATTTGGGCGGTCTAAATATAAAAAGCCAAATTTAGGTTTTAAAGATGAAAATAAAATAAGAATTGGTTTGTATATATGTAAATGCCGCTATAAAAAAACTGTTGGAGGTGGCATTGACTTTCTAGCTGAAAATTCAAAAGCAAACTTTTGTCCTATCAAAATTCAAGGTCAACATTCATTGAAGCATAGACCATCACATAAACTCCAAGAATACTCTGTAGTTGATAGTTTTGAATAGTCTGTTGTACTAACAAAACATAAGCAATCAACAACAAAAGGCCTCAAATACACATTTAATAACTTGGAAATGACCAAAACAAAAACTTTCTTTCCTCGTAACCATTAACTCTGATCAGAACGTTATTACTTGAAACATTATTTTACACAACCAACTTTAATGTTTTCAATCAGTGTTTCATATTTTACTCAAGTAACTCTATGCAAAATATGTCCAGCTCATTACAACCTAATAAAGCCTTTCATTATAGAACAAAAGATCAAAGTTTGATAAGCCCAGATTGTGCCGATACTAGTTCATGTGACTACAAGTTGGCAAATTAGCTTAGTGCCTTTTACCATGGCATTTTCAGTTTATATTTGTTGACAGGGAGAGTTCACCATTTTTGTCTAGCCTTTTTCTTGGTGTATAAATCAGGGAGGCTGCTTCTCCAAGGGTCTAAAATCACATCCGATACATATTACATTGTTGGATGCTATATGCACAACGTGGGACATCACAATAATAGCTGATTTATAGTACCATTAAGAAGACATAAAAAGAATTTTAGAAACCGTAGTTATCTGGTGTGCCGGAGTGAGCATTAGATAAGTTTAAAACATAGAAAAAAGCAGTACCCAGATCCTGCTGGATGGATGCTCTTATAAGGAAAGTGCCATTCAACTATGAAAAAATAAGTTATGTGAGCTCATATATATGAATGTACTAGACTGATTTTGTACAACCGTGCATTGTTTTTGTGTAACTGACTGTTAGTACATTTTTACCTAGTGTTTATATGAGTTAAGGAAAGCTTTAACCAGGAACTTAAACTTGAGATAGTCCCTTTTCGTAATTATAAATGCAGATACGAGCAGAAGCACTAGGTCCAGGTTATAAATTGGAGGAATGCAATAAAATTTTTTGCGTTAGTTGCTCAAATTATTTCACTTCTGATGTAGTTTTCGGAAAACCCTTCATGAACATTAATATTGTAATTATTCAACTTGTACATATGCATAAAAAAAGCAGGAATTCAAATTTGTGGTAACTTGAGAAGAAATTGGAGCCATAACCTTGAGTTGGTAGGCAGGATATTGTCCAACAGCTTTGAGGACATATGGAGTTGCGCATTTTGCAATCCAATGGGCTGCAGAAACCATCCCATAATGTGCATATCCCAATACCACTTTACTGACACCGCATTCATCTAAAATTGAATGGTGAAAGGGAACCATCAAACCAATAGCAGCAGTCAATGTATCCTTGATGCTATGCATCCCCCGAACAATAAGGAGAATGCATTTTGAACTTTTATCACGTAAAATGATAAAAGCAGGCTTTAGAAGCTACACGAAATTAATGAACGGAATCTTAAGTTATTAATAATTTCATTTGGAAAGCTCATAAAACAATCAAAGCTAATAAGTAAAAAGGAAATCTATATACATAGCACACAATTCTTATGTATTTGCATATCTCACACATAAACTTTCATATTCTATGTGTGTAAATATAAAAATTTATGTGAGAGATATGTAAATACATAAGAAATGTGTCCTATGTTAGTAAATGCCCCTAAAAAAAAATCAAAGCTAATAAATAATACAGCCTTCGTACACACCCCAGCTTTATGCTTTTGAAAAATAATATCGTCGGGACAGAAGTCCGAACATTTTAAGAAGACTGAGAATGGTTTCTTTGAAAAGGCTATACAGAGATACAACAGCCTTGAAAGGTAGATCAACTCATCCATAAGTTCTGGTCCTTCTAATTTAATATAATTGCTTCTGCCAAATACAGTCGCTACTTGTAAGCCCTGAAAGGAATGCAATTGTTGTAATGATCATTTAAAGAGTAGATGTGAAAGAAATGCTATTGGCCAATTATTTAGAACACAGATAATTAGTGATCATTTTCTCAATGTAAGAGACAAAACAAAGATGATAAAATATATTAAAAAAATAAGAAATATACTATGATTATCTATTATTTTCACTTAACAATGGTTTAGGACTTCATTATGCATTACATAACATACCCACTAGTTTTTAAAATAATGCAAAATTGACAACTTTATTCTATGACTATTTTATCAAAATTTGAAGTTTTAAGTGATATAATCAAACAATGGAAATTTAAAAGTTTTCTATTTGACTTGTACATTTATTTCATTTTTATTCTTAAATCCTGACAATGCTTTCAAATCACTAATAAAGATTAATTAATTCATAGATGGTTAAAGAACTTAAAATAGTGAATTGTTATCCCTGCAATACTATATAAGAACCTCCAAAAACAAAATTTTTGTACAACAAACTGAAAGATACCATTACGATGCCCATTTTGGTACAACATTATTGTTTTCTACCTTTCTCTTCAACTTCATTATTACGTTAGAAGTCTATCTAATTTTTGGGATAACACCATTAGCTGCAATAGGAGCAACTTTGCCATAATTGTCCAGGTTCTCTTTCTGGGCTCCTTCATTTTAATTGTTGCAAGATAATCTAATGAAATGAAATAATTCAATATAGATGTCCTATCCATTTTACCAGCTGCTTTAATGAAATAAAATTCAAGAAAAACAAGTAAATTTCAGATAAATAAATTTATTATGATTCAGAACCTCTGCATAGATTTTCATTCACTTTATTAATTTCCTGGAAATATGATTCGTCACATCCAAACAGAGAGTTAATCTCTCATATCATACAGTCCGATTTGCATGGATACCGTGTCCAACATTACCAAATTGCACCAGTAATTGCACCAGTAAAGCTTGATAAGCTTGATACATAATATGATAGATTTACTTCCTTCAAAGATTGGGTTTGTTGATGGAAAAACAGCCATAGGTTTATATATGCATTATTAGAAGCACCTAATGGATAACAAAAAAGTTTTTCTCCAGCTAAAGGCAGCGTTAAACATCCAAATACTATGATCAAATCTAATCGGCAAATGACTAAAACTCAACAACAACAAAAAACAAAGCCTTTAGGTCTACTTTTAACATCTCCCATCCAAAATAAGAAATAATTTTCACCTAACAAGATAAACTCCAACAAATTATCATCCTCAAACTAACATAAAAATGCTGAGAACAATGTCAGCAAGTCAACAACAACTAATCTCAGCCTCAATCTAAATCCACCTACCTGCTTTCTCATGTGATGCTTGATGCCAAAGGCCAAATCTCCAATCGGCCACCTCCCGAGGGTTTCCAAGTAAATGAACTGGATCGTCTCTGTCACTGCCAAAACAGCCTCCTGCCAGGTTGAAGGTGGCTCCGCCGGTCGCCAAGACAATCTCCTTTCTATCTCCGCCTCTCTCCATCTCTGCTCTCTGCAGCCGCCACCAACAGCGGAGATCTCCTGCTCTTCCCCATCTTCCCCCCGCTTCAGTGTGCACGGCCGGTTCCGCAAGATACAGAGCAGCCCCAAGATACAGACCAGCAGGGCCAGGCCCACGGCGGCCGCCGTCGTGGCCACCACCAATGTCGTCGCCATTATCGCGGTTCAATTCAAAACCTAGACTGGAGATGGTTGAGGGTGCATTGATAAGATTTGAGATCCATCATGTGGGGAGACGGGATACCCAATTCGAGTTTTCAACAATCAACCAATGTTCGAGTTCATCTTGCGTGCACCTTGTTCTTTTCCTAATTAACATAATAGTGCATAAGAAGTTGGGAAACAGCGTGTTAGTTAATTTATGTATCACACTATCATGTATTTACGCAAATAAAGGTTGTAACATTTATTTATATAGCATTAAACTTTTCCATATGGCATTCAAAATATCATTCATTACTACTTTTAAAATAAAATACATAATCATGATACATCACTAAAAAATCATATTGACTGTACTTTGATTAATGATTAAGCGAAAATGTTTAAGGGGAATGATGCAAATGACACGAAAAATAATCTGACTTGAGTTCAAGTGGGCTCAGATCATCCACTTAAAACATAGTTGGATGTATTGAAATATATTTTGGGAACCAAATGATCTTCAAACCTGATAAGTTTATAGTCAAATCGGGTGTCTCGATGAGCCGAATTCAACAAGCATGGTATCACTTAATTTTGATATCATTTAGGCACTTGAATGCTTATAAAATACCATTAGATCAAATGGATCATTATAGTCTTCTGATAGAGTTGTTCGGACTCATTCAATATTTACAGTGGATGTTACACACAAAATCTATAGACATACCTGTACTCTCTCCTTGAAAAGGGAGGGACCCCGACCTGGAAAAGAAAGCTGAAGGATCTCCAAGCTCTTGAGGGTTCATGAGTTCCACCACCACAGGACCACCATCGATTAGCCACTATCATCATCAATCCACCGTCGTCGCTACCCAGATACCACTGGAATACTATTGCTCTTCCATTGTCTTCCAGCCACTGCCACTGTTGTACAATCGCCTTTTGACCGCTACCGCCTCTGCCATCCGACCACAGCTTCCTGGCTACCCTGTTGAGCAGATATCGTCACCGGACCAACGCCATCTGACCACCATCATCGAGCTACAGCCACCACCGGACCATCGCTTCCCGACCACCGGTGTTTGGTCATCATCACTGTCAAATCACTGCTACCCAGCCACCACCTTTGGACTACCACCGCCGTTTGATGACTGTTACCCAGCCCCTACCGTTGGACTGCCATTGTTAGCTCGATTTGATGAGCTTGATAGGTGTTGCTCAGTCAACTGATCCAACTTGGGTGACTATCCTTGATCGTTGATGAGGATCCTTTGGAGTCTACATAAGATGTTTGGAGAAACTTTGTGGAACAAGGTCTTTCTTTGGATTGGTTCTACCAGGGGTAAGCTATCTCATTGAGTCGGCTTTCCAGTGGTGGTTAGCTCGGATGTTAATTTATCTCATTTTTGGTCATATGGCTCGTGCTTGGAGCATTTAGCTGTCCTCTTGTTTGTCTTGTGGCTTAATCAGTTTTGTCCTGATTTACTTGGCTCGTTAGCTTAAGTGGCACCGCACAAATTCCTGGTAGTGGGTCTTTCTTTATTATAATCTCCTCCTCTAGACCATCAAATCATTTTAAGATCCGTGCATACACCATTTTTATATACATATTTTAGTTCCTCAGTCTCTTACTTTTTGAAAGAGATGATGCAATAAAAATAAGAGAATTTATCTAAAAAATTTAGTATTTTTTTTTCCAAAATTTGACTACGTTGATTGTGGAGGCCTTGATTTTTATAAATAGAGTGCGATGAGACTCCTTCCTATTCTTAATTTGCTCTTTGCAATCCCTTGTTTAAGTTGGAGGGGTTTCGTGTCTTCGTCATTGTGATGGAAAACCTATTGAAATCCCACATTGACATTCCCAATGGGGAGTTGATCCACTTTACTTTTGAGAAACCAAAAGGATAAGACATGCTAGAAGGTCGGAGAAGGAAGAATGTTGTCGTAAAGAAGAATGTTGAACTCTTTTTGCTCGATCAAGTGTATCATCTGATTTAATCCCTTACACCAAGCCGAGGAACATTCAATCGTGTGCATTACTACTCGCCACTATGATTTACGTGGTCACCAGCTCTTATAACTCCCGACTCTAGCCCCGGCGGCTTATTGACGTCATCACTACTCATCACTACGGCCTACGTGAAAAAGTATAGTCTAAGTGGTCCCCAACTCATGCAGTTCTCGACTCCGGCCTCCACGGTCTATGGGCATCATTACCACTCACCACTACGGCCTTCGTGGTCCACAATGATCACTTCTCCATCACCCGAAAAATTTATGGAAGCATGGTACATGGAAATGATGATTCGGAATGAGTTGAGCAACAATCATCCAAGGAAAACGTTGTAGGTGGGCGGTGAATCGACTATGAGAAAATCTATAATGTTGATGAATTACTTCTCACCTTCTCCCCTTCTCCCCTTCTCCCCTTCTCCCCTTCTCCCCTGTAACTAGCAGGATAAGGTTTCCAAGAGCATCTTTCGTTCGGGCATGGCCGAAAGATGAGAGGTGCTCAAACCCAACTAGTCAAAAACTGATTTGAAGATAATGTTCATCGAGCTCCATGTCTCAATCAATATGCTTCCAATATGATAATTAGAGATCAAGACAATGACAACAATAGCGTCGTTATAGGATTGCTCTTTGGCAATTCGTATGCATTGATAAACGAGATGGGAGGATTTAATTACACGACAATAGCTGGTGTTCAAGGATAAGGTTTAATAACAAAGTCTCCACTAGCTTATGGATAGGGTTGATATTGATCCCATTTTGAGATATCTCAAAATCATATAAAATGCATAAAAGTCAACTTGACATTGAATTATGATTAAAATAAATTAGTTTGCAATCAATCCAATTAACTCTATTTTGAGTTAGCTCAGGGGGGGTATTTATACACAGTATTTCATTTTTTTTAAGAAAATTCTTGATGATTTGATTATAAGAACAGTAAAATCATGATTGATTTTCGAATATAAACAAATTTAATCATATGATCATAGGCTTATTATATGTTCGATGAACTGGCATTCCAAACCAGCCAACACAATTGTACTGAAACACTTCTGAACTTCACTTATTGCTTTTCAGCTGAAACTAATAATACTGAAACACTCTGGAACTTCATTTGCTGTTTTCAGGTGAAACTAATAATGCTGAAACACTCTGAAACTTTGATTATTGTTTGGAGCATTTATATACGTACCACCCAACTCCTATGTTTTTACATATTGAACACAAACTTTATATTTTACATTTGCAGAACCCAAATCTTTCATATCAGATAGAAATATCACCGGTCTTACTTTTATGGATTGATAAGGTGTGCATGTAAAAATTAAATTTTAAATGTAAGATATGTAAATAGATAAGAATTGGGTAGTATAAATGTAAATATTCCTTATTATTTTCGGTTGAAAAACTAATAGCCGAAACTATCTCCTGCTGCATGACACTGAAACCATTGGAGATAATATGAAAATCCGATACAAATTTGAAGAAAAACAAATTGAGCAGGGGTTAATTTGGGTTATATTTGTGTGGATAAAAAAATTTGGGCTCAGTTTAGGCCATGTCATGTCTAGTTTAGATCATCCCAAAAAATAATAATTTATTTGTTTTAATCACACATATATATATATATATATATATATATATATATATATATATATTTGAGAAAGCCCAATGACTAATGTATTAAATAGAAAATAACATACGTTAGATTGTGTGGGAGGGCCCAAACATGGCACCCTGCCCACACGATAAGCACCACATGCAAATGGTTACAACAAAGAGAAAATACAGAAAAATACATGAGAGACCTAAAAAAAATCAAAAAATGCTAAAATACAAAGAGAAAATACAGAGAAATACATGAGAGACCTAAAAAAAATCAAAAGGTGCTAAAATACAGAGTATTAGGTAGTTAGAGAGCGACCCAATTTTGTTTCGTCTCTGCCTCTAGTTCTAGGGAAGGGGCCAGTTAATAAATTGGTAAGATGAGTATCATTATAAGTAGTAACCAATGTATCATCCAATAAGTTCCCGAGCTCGAGTCGGCCTCCATTCTTCTTCTTCTTCATAGAATAGACCTGTCATTCCTCATCCGAAAATTGGCTCACCTGATCAATTGATTGATCTAAAGTGTGTCAGACATGTGTATGTTGTTGAACATTCGAAGCAACTACTTGTTGTACCAGCTGGCCTTTTATCGGATCGAAGGAGCACACTCGTTTGTCTTAGCATGTAAGTAGGCTTTCTTCAATAACAGTGAGTGATATAAGCATATTTGGATATGTACCTGTAGTATAATGTTCTTCATCAGGAACTGGGGTGTTGAAAAGAGGATCGGGTTGCACCTTCTTAGCAGGGATGGTAGGAGGGATGGTTGCACCTTCTTAGCAGGGATGGTAGGTGGCTGATCTTTAGCGATATCCGGCCTTAGATGAGGAGCAAGTGATAACAAATAGTAGAACTGTGGTCAAACATACTATAACAAGAGCAATAAGGAGGGTGTTGTTCTATTTCAACCTTTTGTCAATACCCGTTATGAGCAGTGCCAATTCATACCTCATTCGGAGCTGGTTTAGTGATATCTCTCTCAACTAACACACAAGCCACAAAGGGTCTAGTGACAACAAATGTAGGACTATCCACCTTGAGAGGCTTACCTAAGCAGCTGCTAATGAGTAGAGAATTTCCAAGTTAAACAAATGTAATTTTAACCCTGAAAACTTTAATCAAATGATAAGGATAGGAGACTCCGCATTTGGATCAAAATAGACAGTCCACTTCATAATTTTCATAAGTCGGTTGTCGATCTTGATAACTTTTTGAAAAAAAAATGTTAGTGTAATCGACATCGTGAGATAACTAAATCAGTATATGTGACAATCAAGTGAGTCAATATTCCAACTGCCAAATAGCTTCATGACTTCAAAATCTTTCTGAATGATATCAAGTTTTGGGTTACCATAGAGGAATTTCCTCACTAGAGCAAAACGCCAAGAGGACGTGAGAATGCTAGTTTCAACCTCAGTGAGAATAAGAGCAGACTTCTCATTTCTTCTACCAAGCTTTTTAATGAAAGTATGATCACCACCACCTTCCGTCGTTGAAAGATTGTAGAACATTGCATGACTTGCCAATATGAAAACCAGGCTTTGAACCTGAAAGAGGAGCACGAGAAGGAATAGGAAAGTCGTCGGCAACTGCAGTGGCATAGGAATGCATCGTCGAGGCCATTTGAAGAGAGGCTAGGCGAGCTGCAAGGCGAGTAGACCTTCTGTCGGGCAGGCGACATAAGCGATGCGATCTTGTCGGGCAGGGTGAAGGCGTCTTCGAGTATAGAGACGACGTGAACCACTATCGAGGAAACATCGTCGAGTGCAGGTGAGGAGAGACAAAGCGCAGGGGCTGGCGAAACAAAGAAAGACAAAAGCGAGAAACCCTTCTTCGTTGGAGACGAGCTGCGGAACGACAGAAAGACGAAAAAGATAACGTGAAACCCTTCCTCGTAGGGCACGAGGAAGCCGGTGGAGTGAAGCCGAGAGATTCAACACGCGTGTGTGTGTATATATTTGTATATATCTATACATATGTATATATATATACATATATATATATATATATGTCTTTCTATCATATATGTATACATACATAGATATATATGTTCATACATCTATAAATATAGATATATGTGTGTGTGTGTGTGTGTGTGTACATAGTGTATATATATATATATTTTACATACATACAACCATCCATCTATGTACACACACACACACACACACACACACACATATATCTATATTTATAGATATATGAACATATATATCTGTGTATGTATACATATATGATAGAAAGACATATATATATATATATATGCATATATATATACATATGTATAGATATATACAAATATATACACACGCACGCGCACACTTATATACATATATTAATTTATTGAATGGCAATATCTACGCTGCACGCATCAGGATTTGCTTTCCATCAGTGAATTTATTTTAAATTTTTTGGATTGTTGAAATAATAAGAATAAAATAAATCGAATCCATTTTAGGCTCAATTTGATTTATTTGAATATGTTTCAGCTCGAAATCGGCTCAAAATCAACTCACAGCTTTTCATAATCATTTTTATTTAGCATCATAAATATAATTTATATAAATAAAAACACTTCAAACTGCTCTCGAACTAGTTCAAGCCCATTCACGTATAGCTCGAAATCAGATAACAAAAAACTGATCAAAACTTTTGGCTAAGTTCATTTCGATCTATTTAGCCAAAATTCAAACAAATATTTTGAGCCATTAATGATCATTGAGCCAAATTCACGGCCCTACTTGGGATTTCATGACAGACTACCTTCATCATGAGCAGAAATGAGAATAGGTTGTCTGCTTAAGAATATTAACACTGTTTGTTTGAATGCATTTTTGCACATCATTGAATTTTCTCAAATGTTTGTTAAATCAAAAAGTGTAAATAAAAAATTTGAGATGTAAAAAATATTTAAAATCTATAATTTTCATGTAATTTGAAATTTTCAAAATGAAGAAATTTTATTAGCAAGCATAAAAATTGACAATTTTGAAAACAATTCTTTAATTAATCCAAATTCAGGTTCTTTATTAATGGCTTAATTTTAATTAAAAAACATATCTAAAAAACATTATAGTCGCAACCAACCAATACATCTCCAACAATTTGAATACCATCACATTGAAACATTTTGTAAACTTCATTTATTGTTTGCATATGAAGCTAATAATACAGAAACACTCTGGAACTTCGATTATTCTTCGGGGTGTTTATATTAATACAACCCAATTCCTATGTATTTATATATTTAACACAACTTCATTTTTTTAACACTTATACAACCCAAATCTTTCATATCATATCTAAAATATCACCACTTTAAAGTGATATATATATATAAATGAAATTTCAAGTGTCAGATACATAAATACATAAGTTATTAAGTCATGATATAAATATCAAAAATTTAATGCGGACTACTCTATTAAGTCATGGTATAAATAACACAATGTAGTTCTTCCCTTCATGCGGCCTACAAAAGAGGACTAAGTCCTTCCTTTTGCTAGCTCTTCCGAGCTAAAAAATAAAGGATGCCAGAGACAAAATTCGGCGATCAAATAAATGGTTCAGATGAATATATAGTTTTATTGCGGGGCATGATGCCGCCAACCATATATAAATAATAAGAAATAATAGAGGGGAGATAATTGATCTTTATGTCAATCAGAGGGTCCAATCATTTTCTCAGGCACCACCAGCTCATCAAATTCTTCGCTGCTTAGAACTCCGAGATTCAAAGCAGCAGCCTGCACGAATTGACAATCAAAGGTAATAAGAACATGGCAGTAATACTTTCTAGATCTCACAGTGGAATATAAGTAATTGGTAAAAATCTTGTAAGTTTCTGTCAATGTCCTAAAATTAAATATCGTTTATATTAACTTTGTGCTATGACACACATATACATACATACCAAAAAATTCTCATGCATTTACATGTCTAACACCCAAATTATGATATTTACATTTCCAACAACTTAATGTCATAATCCTATCATGAAAATATGTATTTCACTTTTAAAAGCTAGCGATAGTGGTATTCTTGCTGTGATGTTAAAGATTTAAGTGTTATGCGTAAATATGACTGTTGTCATAGCTTCGCACCAGCTCTTCGAAAGGGATAATAATAAGCTCAATCCACAAACTTCATCAATGGAGTTGATATCAATTGAATATAAATAACTTTTGATCAAATTAAACTCATTAATACACTGCTTCAAAAGCACACCATTCTAACATTGAAAAAAAAATACTCATTAGATATATTTTGTTTATTGTTGAAGGCTTCTTATATATGTCTTGTAAAGCTTTTCTAGAGGTAGATGTGGTCTTTCCATGCAATATGTTAAGGGAAACATTCTTTGCTAATTCTAGGCTTAGAAATTCCAATGTTTGTCGGCCCAATAAATCCCAATCTTCTTGGCTTATACTCGAAGACTTCGTCTCAAATAGCGTTAAATATAGTTTTTCGGGAGCAGCTAAATCTCAATATGAAACTTTGCATAATCAAAATCCTTGCCAACAAACTTACCATTCTCCAACCTCCCATCAGCAAATGTCGTTGTTCCCACTTCTCTTTTACAGCTCCAAAAGTTAGCTTTAATATTAGTTAATAGAAAAAATAAGACCGAAGTTGACCCAAAACACAATAAAAACACAAATATTATGGCTGAAATTTAGTCGGATTACAACCAAAGACTCTTGGCAATAGGTAAATAATAACACAAGCTTAAAAGATATCCTAGAGTGAGGACAAAATCGGGGGCTATGGCAGGACAGCAGGTGGGAGGGGCTGGTTGGAAGGTGGCAGTAACAAGGAGTCTGGATGGTTATGGGGCGCAGGCAGGGCGGCAGGGCGGCAGGGCAAGCAGCAAAGAGGTTGGGGTCACGGCAGAAAGTAGGAAGATTGGAAAGAGGGGTTGCGGCAACAAGTAGTAGGTCTGGAGGGACTTACGGCAGCAGAGCAAGGGGCAGGAGGGAGTTGTGGCTGGTCTGGGATGAGCTGGAGGGAGTCGCGGTTGATCTGTGATGGACTGGGGAGAGTTGCGGTTGGGGAAGTAACAGGATACGACTTAGTAGGATGGACGGCAGGCTTGCTATAGGAGAACGAGGTGGGGCTGCTGGACGAGCAATTGGCGCAATGAGGTAGGGTGAAGGTGAAAGTCAGAGAGGATGATCACCAACAGGAAAAGGGATTCATCCGGAACGCCACCCTGCCCATCGGATACAACCCTAGACAGCAAAAACAGGATGTTAGCAGTTGTCCACTCAAAACTGAAATCAGAAACAACATAAAAACCAACCCTATAACCAGAAAACAACAATTTATAAACTCGTACATGGAGTGGAAAAGAAAAGGAATAGAAAATGAATCTCCCATACAAAAATGAAAGGAATGGGCGGCAATCCAAATCCAGAAATAATGATTGAAAACTTCCCATATAGAAGAGATCAAGGAAGGGAATAGAAAGGGGTAATTGACAGTCCCGCTCCCTAGGGAAGCCGCCCGGTCCAACGGTGAACTGGACCGACCCCTTTATGTCAGCTGGTTCAGCCAACTGGTTGTTTCCTAAATCTGTGCGGGATAAAACTCGCGCCCACGTTAGTCTCCCGAGATTAGGGGAGCTTCGACCTCATTCGTCAAAGCTTCTAGTTCTTGTCTTCAATTCTAGTGGCACTTGAATCTCATTGTCGGTTGCACTGTCCCCCGAAGCATCGGAGAAGTCTTTCCTACTGCAAGCACATGTCCATATCGATCTGCTCACTTGAGGGTGTGGATCACGCCTGTCCTGTTGAATCTTCCCAAAGTAACCCACGGTCGGTTCAATCAGGAATGAAATGAGAGTAACCCGAACCTTCCCACACAGTGGTGGCACTAGTGGTACGGTGTTGACCGTGAAATCCCGACATACCCTCGGTCGCATCTGTCAAGTATTTGAAGCGGGTGTCTCAGTCCTCTCGTCCGGTGTCATCACTAAAACTGGTCCCACTGACGTCGCTCAACTAGTAAAGGCTCATGTGATCTCTGGCTCCGCCGAAGAAAGTAGAATGATGTGTTTCTCACCCTTGGTGAAAGAATATGTGTTTTTGAATCCATCATGCTTAATCCTTCAGTCAAACTGTCACGGTCTTCCCAATAAAAGATGACAGACATCCATAAGAACCACGTCACACCACATCTGGTCCTGCAGCTAGCCCCAATCGAAAATTCTACTAAGCATCTCCAATTGATGCTAACCTGATTCACTTTCTTCAACCACATTAGTGAATATAGTTAAGAATGTCTATTAGTCATGAGTCACAATTTCTCTACCATCTGTGTCGATGTCATGTTCTTGCTGCTCCCGCTGTCGATAAAGAGACTGCACGCCTTTTTGTTTACTGTGCAACAGATGTAGAATATGTTGTAGCGAAGCCACTCCAGATCTCTCGTGACCTCAGTCTATAAGATCCATCGAATCACAAACGTCTCTCCTTTGTCCGGTGGATAACTTTCTCTTCATCGCTAACCTCCTCCACAAAGCCCTAGTCTGTAAGTGTGACTACCTTGCTCGTGGTACAGCTGGAGGCTATGTGGCCGTAGCAGTGACATTTGAAACACTTTCTGACCGGTACAGTGTTGGAAGAGCTACCTTCTAGTATTTCTTCCCACTATGATTTGGAGTGTCATTTTCTTGTCCGCACTTGCTAACTTCTCCTTAGGTAACCTTGTCGGTCGTGGTAGCAGTAGGTGACTGCCTGTCTACTCTGCTTCTGCTTCTGCTGCATCTCCACCTTCAATGCTAGTGTTTGGACAACCCCAAGCGCTCAATATGGCTGTAGCTGCACCACATTATTAATAATAGGCTACATGCCCCAAGCTATCTAGCTACTGCATGTTCCTTTGGTGTGCACTTTAGTTGTAAGTGGTCGAACCGTGCTGTGAAATCCTCCATTGTAAGATTCCACTATTGCAGATTATGGAGCTTCAAAAACATGTCCTGACGATAATGAAGGGGGATATATTCCTCATGCATGGCTTTCTTTATCTTCTCCCACTTGGTAATCTTATCGTTGCCTTCATGTTTCCTCTGCCACTGTACGTTCTCCCATCATAAGGAAACACACTTTTTCAGCTTAATGGAGGCCAGCTTGACTCGTCTATCCTCTGACACCTCCTTATACTAAAAAATTTGCTCAACAACTTGCATTCAATAAATGAATTCATCCGGATCCATGCCTGCCTCAAACTTCGGTAAATCCACCTTTGATTCCATAGTCTTGTGTCCTCCAAATTACATGTCTCAGAAATTTTATAAGATAGGAATTCAAATATCTCTCTCTCTAGGCCTCATCTGATACTAAAATTTAAAACGTTGTGGTATATCTTCTTCATCATTGAAATTATGCCTATGGAAAAGATTCAAATCTTCGCTTTCTCCCTTCGACTCTCCAGATCTTGGTCGAGAGTAACATCTTCCTATATGTCTCTGTTGCCTTCAACATATAGATGTAGCTGTAAAATCTCCAGATCTTGGAAGAGATTTTAACATCAGAGTAAAATCTTCCATTTCTGCAAGCCTCTGTTGAAGGCAACAGAGCTCTAGCTGTCTCTCTTTCTGGGTAGGCTCGGACATATTTCTCCTAGGCGACATGGCTAGGGATTAAGGAATGGGAAAGATTTTTTTTTTTTTGGTGGGGTTAGGGTTAGGGTTTGGGTTGTGGTAAGAAAATTATGTGGTGGAGATGAGAGGGGGTGTATGCAATTGATGGTTGGTGCAGAAAAGTTGTTCAGGTTTGCTGATTTTGAAAATTAACAAAGGGATTTGGGATTTGGGGCTATGGTTTGGGAATAGAAAATGTTAGGAAACTCTAGGATAGGACTAGGATTAGATTTGGTCTAATACCAAACGACACTGGAGTTAATGCAAATCACGATAAAAACACGAATATTATTGGTGAAATTTAATAGGGATACAACCAAAGACTCTTGACAATAGGTAAATAACAACACAAGCTTAAAGGACACCCTAGAGTGAGAACAAAATTGGTGGGCTACGTCGGGACAGCAGGCGAGAGGAGCTGGTTAGAAGGTGGCGGTAACAGGGAGGGAGTCTAGAGGGTTGTGGGGCGCAGGAAGGGTGGCAGGGGACCACGGCAGCAAGCAACCAAGAGGTTGAGGGTCTTGACAGCAAATGGGAAGATTGGAAAGAGGGGTTGCGCAGCAGGTAGTAGGTCTGGAGGGACTTGCGGCAACAGGGAAGTAGAAGGGAGTTGCGGCTTGTCTGGGATGAGCTGGAGCTTGTTGTGGCTGATTTGGGATGGGCTGAAGAGAGTTATAGTTGAGGAAGTAGTAGGATACGAGACTTAGTAGGATGGACAGCATGCTTGCTGTAGGAAGAGAAGGTGGGGTTGCTAGAAGAGTAGTTGGCGGCAAGGAGGTAAGGTGGAAGTGAAAGTCGGAGAGGATAATCACTACCAGGGGAAAGAGATACAACCGGAGCACTATCCTACCAATCGAATACAGCCTTAGATAGGAAAAGCATAACGTTGTTGGTTGTCCACTCATGAAGGAGATCATGTAAGGGACTGGTCTCACCACCTAGGGAAACCGCGCGGTCCAGCAATGACCTGGACCGACCGCTTTATATCGACATCTGTTGGCTGTTTCCCGCATCCGTGCGGGATAAAGGCTGCACCCGCATCAGAAAATATGCATCTGAGAGCAAGAAATCTGTAAGGGCACATGTTAACAAAAAGAACATATATTTACATAAATCATCGTTATTTATCTAAAACCACAACCATACTTAAAACGGTTAAATTTAAAAATGACTACAAGATACAATATATTCTCTCATAAATAATTTTCTTCTTTTACCACACCATCTCATATAATCCCTTTTGAATCTGTCTCCATTATCTTGATATATATCCACTCAGCAAAATAAAAAAAAAGCTCAAAAATGAAATTAAGGCTTTAAAAAGAATTAAATAACATAAGAATATCAATCCTTTTCACATCTTTTTTTTTTTTCATACTGTTGCCAGCTCATGTTTGTAATATCGAAATGGTTGCAAACCTTCTCAAAATACAACCTTGATTGCAGACTTCAGTCAAGAGGTAATCAGCCCCGATCATAAACTTCCGATCCTTATTGTCGAGCCCAAAGCAATCTCCTACTGCCCACCACTTTTATCTTTATCATCAGCCACCAATGCAGAGGCACTCCACCATCTTAACTTTAACTTGTCGTTAGCTTTAGTCCAAGGGACCAAGTAAATGATGCAAGGGAAACCATCATATCTTCTAAAGATATTTAATGGCAGTGGATGGAAAGCATATTTTTTTAGTTTAGGAATAAATTTATGAAGTTTATTTGGCAGTGGATTTGATTCATAACTTCGACCGATTCAAATCAACTGGAAATCAGATTTTAAACTGAATATTTTGAGATTTATTTATCCAAGAAATCAAATCAACTAGCAACTTCAATATACCTTAGACCCACACCTTTTTTCATTAACGTGCAATCAATTAATTATCATGGCAATCAATCATGTCTTCTCAAGGTCAATAAATATTAGCTAAAGATCACTATTTACATTAATTGTCTTACTTGACAAAAAAACTGCCATAGTGGACCTTGAAAATGAAACCAAATTAAAGTTCTGAACTCATGTAATTTTAACTTCTGTTCCATTACTCTCTCTCCAATAAGTGCATAGTATGTCTCATGATTGATTCTTATTAAATATCACAATCATGAGCATCTATTTGTGCTTCAAAATTAATATCAAAATGCTTCTTCTCCAATTATTTAAAATATGCTTAATCTTCAATTTTTAATTAACATATTTCTTTATAAAACCATCACAATATCCTCATAACTCTCTATATCTTAATATAAATCACATTCAGACCTAAAGCTTTACCTTTACATTTTTTCTTTAACCTAACTTCAATTCACATTTTTAAATCAACAAATTATATGCCTAGTATTATTTTCACTGTGCTCTTTTAAAATAACACTTTCCTAATTATTTTCATTCAACAATTTCTCCAAACAACAACAACAACAACAACAAAACCTTTATCTCACTAAGTGAGGTCAGCTACATGAATCCTTTTTCTCCATTGCGTTCTATTTAGTGTCATATTTTCACTTAATTCTAATAAATTAAGATCATTTTTTAGACAATATGGCCAAGTCTTCCTAGGTTTACCTCTGCCTTTCTTAACATAAGTCGAATCTAAAACATCTACTCCCCAAATCGGATCATGAGATGGTCGACGTTTAATGTGACCAAATCATCTAAGACGTCTCTCTCTAATTTTGTCCGTCACTGGAGCTACACCAACCCTATCACGGATATATTCATTTCGCATTTTGTCTCTAAGTGTAAAGCCACTCATCCACCTAATCATTCTCATCTCGGCAACACTTAATTTAATTTTATGCTTCTCTTTTTAAGGCCAACATTCAGCGTCATAGAGCATTGCAGGTCTCACCAATGCAGCATATTCATATCTAGTTGATATCTATATCTTTAACATCTTATTATCCTCACCAAAGCAGCATATTCATATATAGTTGATATCTATATCTTTAACATCTTATTATCGTTACTTTCAATGTAATAACTTGATAAAAGTCTCTTGCTTCTTATAATTAATAATATTTATATGTTACCATTTTGAAACCATCTCTCTCTTCCTTACTAATCATTTATGCTTGTCACTCCACTAAATATCTTTGTCTTTCTCGTCCCTCCTAAGTTTTTTATTAATTTTTTTTTAATAGAACTACAAAACTTATCCCACATCAAGTTTAACAATTTCTTCTCAAACTCTAAAACTTTATCATAGAGCCAAATTTTCTTCTTATCACTTCATTTATGCTGCTAAAATACATATCCATAATCAGCACTTTATGTTGTCAAGTCAAACTTTCTTTCAAAATCACAATCAATCCTCGCACAAAAATTTCTTCTCTTCGAAGAAATATAAAGTCTATCTATGATCTAGTAGCCCCACTTTTAACTTATTAAGCACTATTTTCATTCTCAAAATGCACAACCTAATCCCAACTCAACAAGTCCAGATTCATGTCAACTGTGTAATTTCCATTTAGAATCATATGTATATATGTATATCTCAAGGCTGCAGGTGCCAGTTAAAAAAGAAAAAGTCAGGCTTAGTAGAGATGAAAAATTGACAAACACATGCCATAGCTTTTAAGGGTAAAGCGCTGAGAAAGCAAACTTCGTAACGAAGGAAAAGATCGAGTAGCTTAACAAGCACCAAGGGATACGTGCTGAAAGAATTAGAAGCAGATAACTAAAAAAAAACAGCTCATGGTTGAGCAGCTAGTGAAAAGGACAGGGTAATTTAAAGATACAGAATTCCAATGAGATTAAAAAAAAGAAGGGGAATAGACATAAGTAGCATAAAATTCTTGACTATTTACATGTCTCACAAATAAAATTTCATATTTACACAAATAGCACTCAAATCATTAATATCACATCAGAAATAGCACTATGACCATTTTTTAAAAGTAAAATATACCTTTTCATGCATAAGTATGTAAATACATAAGAATTGTGTCCTATATATGTAAATTTCCCGAAAAATAAACGGAATAGAAGAAGTGCAGGCAATACCTTCAGCGTTGATCCTTCCTTGTGAGCTTTCTTGGCAACAGCCGCAGCTTTATCATAGCCAATTTTCTGTTCATAAAAAATGAAGTATCAGATAAGTAAATAAACTGCCAGCCAGTTATATCCAGAAACCAAGCACAGAATGCCAACTTACATGATTTAAAGATGTAACAAGCATCAGAGACTGAAATTAACAAGAACGAGGAGAGATAATTGGTCAGATTTCTAATATCTTAAAATGGCAGAATGATGCTAGGTCACACAAATAAAGAGAAATTTATATACAAAGCACACATTTTTTATGTATTTACATATATCACACCGAAACTTTCATATTTCCATGCATAGCACTTAGGTGCTTTAAGTCTTTTCATGAAAATGTATATTTCACTTTTAAAAGGTGATAATAGTGCTATTTTTGATGTGATATTAAATATTTGAGTGTTATGAGTGTAAATATAAAAGTTTAGGTGTAACATATGTAAATACATAAGAATTGAGTGATACATATGTATATTTCCCTAAAGAAAATTACCTCATGCAGCAACTTTGAAATTCTTTCTCGGTTCGCTTCAATTCCTCGCACACAGTTCTTTTCAAAAGAAGAAGATGCATCCCCGAGTAACCTCAAAGACTGCCAAAAAATCACTTAAAAAATAACATACAATGAAAAAAGTTATAGAAAGAAGTAAATAACTGGCAAATGGGCGCTCGAGTGATTTATAATCCAAATCATGTTCACTATAGCAGCAGCATACTCGAAGAAAAGCGCTGGCTATCATTGGCTTGAAAACATTAAGCTCAAAATGGCCATTTGATCCACCGACAGTAATGGCCACGTGATTACCCATAACCTGCATTACAAAAAACAGTCAGATAACTTTTATTTTTTATTAATAGGATGCAAACGAAAGGGTTCTTAGAAATTGTACTGGAAAAGTCTGAACTACAAAATTCTAAGATATTTACATATTTCAGTTTGTTTACCTGAGGTGAAGAGTTTGAGGCAAGTATGAGTTATTCGTAGAACAGTTCGTAAAATTCAGGTAAATTAATTATAAGCACAGAAGAATAATTTGTTTAACAATAATTGCTTAAACATTAAAATTTAATATTATGTTTTATGGATCATTAAGTTCAACATAAAGTTATCGCAACGCCGCTAATTATGAAGATTAAAATTTTAGCGTAGCAACCGAGTAATTATGTTTTAAAATTTCGATAATCTTCTTTATTTCAAAATATATAATTGACTCTATGGATGTTCTAGTTTGGTTAGATACTTCATATTGTAAGGATAAATATGCATGAAAAATATGTATGATATATATGATATACATAGGATAAATATGCATGATAAGTACGATGGAAAATTATATGCATGATATAGGAGATATGACTGATATAAGAGATACACAAGATATAAAAGATATGCATGATGAATAGTTGCACAACAGAGAAAATATAAATGTTGCTAGATGCATGAAGATGTCTCAGAATAATGAATGAAATATTTATATATGAATGCTTATATGTGCATGTTCAGAGGATGAGTTCATCCCCTAATGGTACAGACAAAAGATGCCAGTGTCTCTGCATTCGTAGAGTTTTTCTATCACTCCAGACAATTGTGATGATTAGATCATTAACCGCTGTGTCGAAAGAATAATATTCGTCAGGGGCAAGTAGACCAAAGCTTACCTTCTCAGACAATTGTGATGCTTACATTATTAATTGTTATGCCGAAAGCATGATATCAATTAGGGGCAAGTAAGGATTTTTCCACCCTAAACAAATGCGATTTACAATAATGCCACAAATTTCTTTCTGAATTGCAGGATTCGATCAAGCAGCCACTAGTGTCACTTGGGTATGAAGACTAATCAGTGCTATTGGTGAGGGATAGGCAAGTAGAGATTGATTTCTAACAAACTCGGAAGTGTAGAGACATGCATAAGAGGAAAAGTTTGAAATTAAGTGACACCAAAAGTTCATTTAACAGGAGAGTCCATTAGGAAGAAGATAAATTCCTACACTGGTGAGTTGTTAGACAGGCCAACAATAGCACCATACAGCCCTCTGTTAAGTGTGGGAAGCAGCATCGTGGTAAATGTTTAATTTTACTTATGCAGACAACTTGATCATCAGATGAGAAAAGCCCTAACAATGTTTAGAGATCCACATCAGATACTCACCAGAGAAGAAATCTAGTTTAGTGGAATTTTCAAGAAGGATCAACATCTAGAAGTGGTCAATAGAGAATAGCAAAAGCATATATAGTAACTCGTCAAGAGCAACCAAGTCAAAACATTCGTCTAAAAGTTTATTCATTAACTCAACAGAAGCAGGATGAGCATGAGATGTTGATGCATAGAGTTTGATATGTTTCAATTATAATTTGACAAGAAAAAGCTTTTTGTAATCATTTTTTATTTCACCTTCATAATGTATTTTTTCACAGTTGACGTGCAGGTCATGAATTTCGATGACGAAATTTTATAAAGGAAGATTAGAATAGTCCATTTTGAGAAATCAAGTGAAATTTTTGACAGCTTTGGAAAGACAGACTTGTGGTGAGAAGCTTACTTGAGATAAGAAAGTTACTTTTTGGGTTAAATTACTGTGAGCCAAAAATTAACAAAATCATAAGATATTTACAGATTTAAAGTTGTTTATCAGGGGTGACGAGTTTGAGGCAAGTGTGTTAAAGTTATTCGTAGGACAGCTCTGTAAAACTCAAGTAAATTAATTCTAAGCGAAGAATAATATTTTGTTTAACAAAAATTGTTTAAATCTTACAGTTTAGTATTATGTTTTATAAGTTATTAAGTTCAACATAAACTTATCGCAATGCCAGCTAGTTACAAAGATTAAGATTTTTGCCCGACAACCGAAGCAAGTAATTAAGTTTTAAATTTTAGTAATCCTCTTTATTCAAAATGCATGTTCGACTCCATGGATATTATTGTTTGGTTAGATCATTCATATTATTAGTCGAGATAGATATGAATGAAGGATATCTATGATGTGCATGATATATATGATATATTTGATCTGCAAGATAAACATGATATGATAGATACGCATGATAAACATGATGGAAACTAAGATAAATGATATAAGAATTATGAATGATACAAGAAACATTTATGATATGAAAGATATTCATGATAAATAGTTGCATAACAGAGTATGCAAATGAGTAAATGCATGAATATGTCTCAGAATAATGAACGAAATAGTTTATATATGAATGTTTGTATGTACATGTTCAGACGAGAAGTTCACCCCCTAATGGTACATGCAGGGGACATCATTGTCTCAACACGCGTAGAGTATTTATATCACCCCAGATAATTGTGATTATTAGACACTAACTGTTGTGCCGATAAAATAATATCAGTCAGGGACGAGTTGACCATAACTTACCTCCCTAAACAATTATGATATTAAAATTACTAACTGCTGTGCTGACAAAATAATATCGACCAGGGGCAGGTAAGGGCATTTTCACCCAAGACAATTGTTATGTGTAGATTGCTAACTGTTGTGCTGACAGGAGCATACGAGACAATATTAGCCAAAGGTGTGTAATGTTTTAATGAAGATAATCCTCAAAGAGGCAGAAATGTATATAAAGAGTATAAAATAAAATTAGAGTTAAGATAAATGCACATAGAAGATTAGTGCATGTCCATTTAGAAAAATGTCATTAATACATGCATTAACATATATAAGATTTCTTATAAAAATATTAAAATTTAGTATATTTAAAAAATTTCTTATAGAGATATGAAAGATCTACATGCATATTGCATTCTTTTCCTTAAATTATTATAGTTTAGAAGTGTGATTGCTCCTGTGTTATCTTTAGATAACTCATTATATTACTTCAATTTACATTTTAGGCATTCGAATAATATGAACAGAAGATGATCAAATGTATATAGAAGACGAGAACAACAAATGAAAATGCACAGATTTCTATTTATTAATTTTAATTACTTTCTTTAGTGTATTTTTCATATATTATTTGAAAATTAAACCGCTTGTGATAGAAACTAAATAGCAGAGAATTGATTTTCACCATCCATCCGTCCGTCCGTTCCAGTCTTGGTTAACTCAAACCCCCGGGTTGGGTCGTAACACGGTCCGGGGCTTGAATTAATCAAGGAGGGAACAAATAGTCGGGCGGTGGAAATTAAAATTTTCCTAAATTTAATTTTTATAATTAAACTTAATAAATGAAAGAGTCACTAATACGTGTTTTTTATAAATATTTTATTTTTTATCGCTCATCTCTTAATACCTTAATTAACTAACTAAAACAAATAATGAACTAAACAAACCAGTGAATACTCATACTTCTAAACTACAGCAATACAAGAGAAAAAAATTAGTGCATCCCAATTAAGTTTATACTAAATCAATATAAATATTTGATGTTATTCAAAAAACCTTATTATATCAATAACATATCAATATCATTATATATCTGTACAACTGTCACAGGAGCACTGTCTAAAAAATTATATCAATCAAAGTATTTTTATATCAATATTCTTTTCCATATACATGCAATATCAAAGTTTTGAGAAAAATAGGCTGAATATTAAATATGCTCGATCGCCTTTTCCCTTGGCTTTCATTTCATTAAATAACAATCTTACAATCTATTTTAGGTGCAAAATAAAGTGCATATAATCTATTTTAGATAAATTAATAATATATATTCATAATCTAAATATTCATCTAAAAGGAAAATATATCAATAAATATATTATAACTAAGAGAATTTTTAATTATAGAAAACTCTTAATTTAGCTGCTTGATTTCCATCATTCCTGATTGACATCCCCCTTCAAATTAATGTTGACTCATCGAGAGCATCAATTTGCCAACAAGAAACTGATAACATTGTCGAGACAAAAAATCTTCAAACCGTGAGTGCCGAAGCCTAAAAATGTTGAAGCCCAAAAATGTTGAAGCCCGAAGTTTGACAGTGTCGAAGCCCAAAAGTGTCGAAGCCAGAAAACGTCGAAGCCTGAAAATACCGAAGCCTGAGAGTGTCCAAACCCAAGAGAGCCGAAGCCCGAGAGTGCCGAAGCCTAAAAAAGTCGAAACCCAAAAGTGTCGAAATCCAAAAGTGTCGAAGTCTGAAAGTGCCGAAGCCTAAAATTGTTGAAGCTCAAAAGTGTCGAGCCTGAAAATGCGGAAGCCCAAAAGGCCAAAGCCTGAGAGTGTCGAAGCCCAAGAGGCCGAAGTCTGAGAGTGCCGAAGCCTAAGAGTGTAGAAGCCTGAGAGACAACTCCTGAACCATAACATGATTCGAGCAAAGAAAAATAAGAAATCCTTAATCATGGTCGTCCAGAAATTCAAATAAAAGCCACAAGAAGGATCCTCTTCCAATTACACGATCCAGATGCTATCGATTATAGCCTACAACTAGAATCCGCGTCCTGATCCAAATGCTATCATAACCCACAAATAAAATCCAGTTACACGATCCAGATGCTATCGATCATAGCCTACAAGTAGGATCTGCATTCTGTTATTCGATCCAAATGCTATTGATTCTTCATGCGACGACGATGATAATTTGCTCCCTGATTTTCACGCTATGTAGTCAAGTAGAAGAAATCCATGAGAGCGTCTCCATGCGGTCAAAGTAGGTTTTTTTTATCAAGTTTTCTTTATCTCTTCCTCCTCACTTCCAACGACCTTGGCTAGGGTTTTGACGTAGCAATCGATCATCTGCTCTTTGGTAGCGTTCTCCCCGCCTGCTTATCTATAACGATGAGCCAGTGCTCATAATCGCAACCAGGGAACAGAGGCGCCATCTCAGTCGGCGACC